TGTGGTTGTACTTACATATACGTATATTTTATATGCATATATGCCTAATATATACAATAGATGCCATCTATACATATATACAACTTATAATACCATATAATATATGTGTGTGTGTGTGTGTGTGCTTATATGTATACTATATTTTCGTGGTTATCAGTCTACACATTCCACTGCTGGACGTGGTCTCTCCCAATCCTTTTAGTCTGGTTTTATGCTCCTGTTTCCAGTTTCAGCACCGATTTTCCTTATTCCTTGACACTAACTTATCACCTGGTCAGTTAGTATTTTCCTCCGCCTGTCTTGGAATTATAATATATATACATACGCCCCCCCCCCCCTTCTAATATATACATATATATGTGTGTGTGTGGTGTTTGTGTGCGTGTGCTGTAAACTGTAATAAATAGTAGAAACTTCAATGAAAAACGTTCTTAGTTTTTTCTTCTTTCTTAATCACATCCGTCTGGACTTGCACTTGATCCATGAGCTTTGTAAGCTTAATTGATAAGGCATAATCAGTTAATATCCTGAGGATCTCATTGCTGTGTAACCATTAATGAACCAATCTTTTTTATATTTAAGTTTGACTATGGGTATAGACAGATACAATCGATTAAATAAAATATGCGTTATGCAATATATGCATGGAATAAAATATAATATGACAAAGAATACGGATATACATTTTTTTTTATCTAGAGTATATATACCTAGTCATTTAACTGCACTAAGTAAATAGGATGGAATATATATACATATATATATAATATATATATATATTATTATATATATATACATATATACATATATGTATATATCTGTTTTTCGGTGTGTGTGTGTTGGTGTTCTCTGGTTTGGTTTGTGTGTGTTGGTGTGTATGTGGATGTGTAGCCTTATGTGTATATGTATATATTTGTTTATTATATATGTATGTGTTGTACGTGTGTATGGTGTGATGGTGTCGTGTTCTTGACTGTGTGTGTCTTGTGTGTGACTGTCGTGTGTGTGTATTGTACTTGTGCGTGTGTGTGCGTGTGCGTGGGTGCATACTGCACCTCTATATATTATATATATATATAATATGAATATAAAAATATATATATTCATATATATATATATAATAATATATATATATATATTCATATATAATATATTATATATATATATATAATATATATATTCATTATAATATATCATATCATATATATATATTCATATATATATATGAATATATATATATATATATATTACATATCTATATATATATATTATATATAAATATATATCTATATATGTATATATATAATATATATTATATATATGAATATATACATGAATTATATATATATATATATATATATATATATATATATCTATATATAAAATTATTTTAATTGGGGTTATATATGAATATATATATACAAATATAATATACATTATGTATAATATATATATAATATATAATATATATATATATATATATTCATTATACATATAGACATATATATATATCTTAATATATTTATATATATATATATACATATATATGATGTATATATATTCAATATATATATATATATATATAAATATAATATATATATAATTATATATATAATATATATTCATATATATATAATATATATATATTATCTATATTATATATATATATATATCATATATAATATACCTATATCATAAATATATATATATATATATATATATTATATATATATATATATATATACATATATATAACTATATGAATATATACATGAAATATAATATATATGAATATATATATATAGATATATATATATATGAAATTATATATATATATATATCTATTAAATATATATATAATATAGACATATATATATATATGACATATATTATATATATATAATATATATATATATGAATATAATATAATATGAAATATATATATATATATATAATATATATATATTATATAATATATATGAATATATATATGAATACCAATATATGAACTATATATATATATATAATATATATATATATATATATATATATGAATATATGATACACATTTTTTTTCTTTTTCTTTTTCTTTTACAACAGCCATTCATACCACGACAGGACAGAGGCCTCTCTCAGCTCACTACTGAGAAGTTATATGGCGATGCCACCCTTGCCTGATTGGATGCCCTTCCTAATCAACCGTGGTTTGGCGTGCTAACATTTGTGCCACGGCGGCGACCCCTAAGACACCTGCGTTCGACATTTTTTCTTTTTCTTTTCTTTTACAACAGCCATTCATACCACGACAGGGACAGAGGCCTCTCTCAGCTCACTACTGAGAAGTTATATGGCGATGCCACCCTTGCCTGATTGGATGCCATTCCTAATCAACCGTGGTTTGGCGTGCTAACATTTGTGCCACGGCGGCGACCCCTAAGACACCCTGCGTTCAACATCTAAGGAGATGTGTCGTTTTCTCGCGCTCGAGCAAGCAGTCAGAGCGGTAGGCATT